CTCTTATAGTAGTTCTCTCTGTACATATTTAATCTATTCTAAATTTATTTATATATCCTCTATGATACCTATTAAAGTACAACTGGAAATATAATGAATTTATTATATATCTACATTATATCTATGAATATAAACTTTAGATAATTTTAAAAAATATGAGAAAATTATTCCAAAAAGCATATTTTTTTAATATACAATAAATTGCTATTTGTAAATAGTAAACAATTTTAATAATAATGATTGTTGTATATACTTGCAAATTTAGGAGCCTATTCTGTAATTCTTAACAACTATAAAATGCTACAATCACGGAATAGGTCTCTTATATTAATTATATTTAAATTGTTTACTTCATTATTTTTCTATTGACAAGTGATAAAATGATAAAATGATACACGTATTTGCTGGGTTTTTTAGACTACCATCTATACATTGAACGCGCACGGAAAAGGAAAAAATTTTTAATTTTAAATGGTGTAATAAATAAATAAATAAAAATGTACGAGAATAGGTCCAACGCATACCAGAATCAGTCCTGGAAGCAGAAATATTTGACACATAAATTAGTGTTGCAGAGTATTAATAACGTTTCATCCTACTGTGATCTGTGTGAATTTTAAGATTCCCATTCTTAAAAATAATGTGGTCCAGCTAGGGATCTTCATATTTTGAACTACCCGGAACATAAAATTCTTCTGCATGAGAGCGCAGGGACCGCTTATGCATTTTTAAGAACAGATTAATGTACAACGTGCAGAGTAACATGTATACCATGCAAAACGTACCGCTTCGATCTTGGTAAGTGATGATGCGAGACTTGGATGCAGATAGGATTCGTCATCTTGGTCAGACTCTTCCTCTGGTTCTTGAAAGAAAGGATAACAATAAGACTCACGCACATCTCAAGATCATCAAGATGGATTACGCATAGGTTACCAATTATAGAGTATTAACAAAAATTTATGGCAATACTTACGGTAAGAAAAAATTAAGTAGAATCAAAGTAGGTGTGGGTAATCAAATCCTGCTTTATGTTGCTTCAATTACTTCAACTCAACTTCAATATAATTACTATAAGACATTGCTTGTTATAGAAAATGATATGCATACCGGATTCTTCTTTCTCAGGTTGTTTTTCAGGATTATATTTTCCACTCTTGATAGCATCGAGGACATATTTGTAATATTGATGGAGCGGCTCGTCTATCGATAGGAACGCGAATTGTGGATTGTTTGCCTGTTTCGTCTTTATGAGGATTTCCAATTGGCTTCCGTGTTGACTTATAAACAGCGCCGTTTTCATTATAATGGCATTCAGTTTCTGTGTTTCCGGCTAAACATTCACAAAATCAACATATTATATAATCATATTATCTAATACTCATGAATATAAGAAAATAAATACAAAGTGACATCTCACTAGGATCATTCCCTCAGGAATTTCCAGTTCAGGCGGCGGTACGAATGCCTGATCTTCCTCTTGCGAACCCTCCGATTGTTTCGGGCTCTGAGAATCCTCGCCAGAGGCTTTATGACCATTTTCATCTTCATTATAATTATATCCTACTTGATTGTACGAAGATTCGGAATCCAGTGCTTGATGCAACCTCTTTATCTCCTCTTCTGTAATACAAATTGTGATTAAATTTTTGTAACGTCCAAGAAGAAAGTTAATAAGAAATATAATCAAAACGCTCTTGAAACAAAAGAAATACGTTACCATGATACATGGATTCCTCTGCATCATTGTTATAGATGGACCGATACCGCTCCTCGTCACAGAGTTGCTCTACTTTCAGTTCTTCCTCGGTAAGTATTGTCCGCTGATCAAAACCACCTGGTGGTGGCTCGTGAATCCGTAAGTCAGCCAGCGCCCCTCGTCCATCGTACCTATACACATACAATACATCTGTTAGAGGAAGAAGATGATATCGTTTTAGTTGTTTTCATATACAAGTTGGTCACAGCATCTGGAAATGTTAAGTCAAGAAGTAAGTCCCACCAAAGCGATTTTTCTGAAATAGAACAGAGCTATAAATGATGCCTCGAGTAACGTTTCTACCTCTGCTTTTTCGAAATATCAACATACTACAATAATGTGGATAAATATTTTACATATATATAATTATAACTATTTCAAGTAACACAATTATCATTTCTAAATTACAGTGTTACATTCACAATTACATTTATTTTTAAATTTAGCATACAGATACTCGAATGTAGAGATTTATTACATCTTGTTACATATACATGTTTAAGATCGATATAACAAAACATGGACTCAGTCTATTGCTGATGTAAATTAGGATGCATTCCACTCGACGCTTGCAACGCTCATGGAATCATTTCATCCTTGTTATTTACCAAGTGTTAAACAAGAACAAATAATACTCACGAGCATTGGGAGCACAAAGTGGAACGCAACTAAACATACACGCATGTGCATATATTATAGAGACTGTCGAAAGAAATCCACAACTGTAAGCTTGTGAGTATAAGTAACAATGTCCTGGTGCGCGTCTCCCGAGGCAAAGCCTGAATCTAATGTGCCAATACATACCGTGCTGAACGGTCGTATAAATACCTACAACCGTCAGCCTTTGCCCATTTGTCTCTCAACGCCGTGTCTCACCTTGCTGCTGTACAGGCGGCCAGCCACAAGCGTCACGTCTCACCACAGCACCCGTGCAGAGCGCGTAAATCGCGCTGCCACACTGCGCGTTTTTCACAGCCGAGAGAACACCTGCGGAAGCCTTAAACAGTCTCCAGTTTGCTTATCCAGAGATTAACGATGAGAAGGGGGGACCTCGCTTTTTCGCTTCTAAATGCAGTACTTGGTTTTGATTTATTTTTGTTTTCGAATTTGGTGGTCGGTTTTTTTTTTGCGGTCGAGGTCAGTCGTTACTTTTTTCGTTACGTTTCGTTGTCGGGGAAACGTAACGGTGCGTGGTCATTTATGGCATGAGAACAAATATCCTAGATGAGAAATTTGTCTAGGTTAGAGAAACGGACCTGTCTATCCTCAACGTGTTATCGCCCATCCATGGTATCAAATGCTTTCCCTGATCAATCATTTTCGCCTTGTCATCATCGCGAAATAATTTGCAGCTATATCCAAACACCAACAGCTCCTGCGGTTCCTCGTCGCTATTCTTTTTACGCAGAATGCCCGAGTCTACCATCCACCGTTGGCTTTTCGAGGACGCCATTTTCCGTTTCAACTGCTCCAACTGCGACTGCTCCGATCAGCTCCGATCCGACTCATCAGATCAGACTGCTTCGAGCCAGTTCGAGCAAAGCTTCGAGTGACTTCGCTTCGAGCTTCGAGTCAATTCGACCGGATGATGACACCGGCGGCGGGGGGGAGGGACGAATGCGTGAGGAAAACGCGCGTTACTCCCACTTCCGGGATGCGCGCGCACGGAATGCGAGGAACGTTCATGTCCATGAATGTCCGTCGTGTTTAAAATTCGTGATATCTGAGAAAATTTGGCGTACAATCGTTAATCAATATCAAGGGTCAATTTTGATCACCCTGATGACCTGTTTTGACGCTGAAAATGAGCGTCGTAGCGTCAGATGAAAATCCAGCCTTATACATAAAAAAAATTTGTTTGACGTATGGATACAAATTAAGAATGGGTGCTTTTCCATTTGATGATACAAGTCGACGCAAGTGTCGTTCTATCTTTGCCACTCTCTGAATGTCAATAAGGATAGAACGACGCTTGTATCGACTTGTGTCATCAAATGGAAAGCATCCAATATCTATTTCTTTAGATTTATTTTCTAAACATGAAAGTACTTCACTATTGCTTTAAACGACTGGTGTCACCGTAATCTCAGTTTTTTTGTCTATATATCACGAAAAAAATCCTCCTCACTACTACTAATACAACTACGACTGGAAGTTAATTGTTTAGTCTGAGAGTAAATTGCATTTTTGCAATACAAGTTATCTACTTCCTTTAAAAAAAGTTCTTTACATAACTCTATGTTATCTTCTGGCACCCAATTTAATTTAAATCTAGGTAAACTGATAGCAGATATAATAAACGGTTTACTATCAGGTGATCCAAGATCAAAAATATGTTTAAATCGCTTTTCTAAAGCTTGAGTCATTCCAACTACAAATGCGTATATTAAATGCGTAAATTTTGCAAGTTTTTGTCTTAGTATAGTAATTGTAGGTGCTACCAAACCTAAAAAATTTATTTTTTTATCCTTGTAACATATCAAGACTTGTTGCTAAAGGAGATATAATCAAAATAAATTCTTCTAAGAAGTCAATTTCAGTTGGTTTCAATTTTTGGAGCTTTTTTATAATACTCTTGTACAATCTTAGATAGTTTGAAAATGATAACATTTCTTTTATCTAAGATGAGATAAAGATAATCTATATTCTTAATAATCTAAATAAAGATAAGATAAAGCCATTTCTTTTCATCTAAATGATTATCTAGATAATTTTATCGAGATAACGGAAAACACTGCTGACGACACAATTGTACGAAACCTCAAGTATACCAATCTATACCATTTTACGTGAAACTTTCCACATTATTGGACCTATTTTTTCCTGTACTGAGAGAACATATAGTAAATTTTAGTAAACGTTTGCTTGAATAATATTTGCTAAATATTTACTAAGTGTAAATATATATTTATTTGAGAATAAAAATTAATTTGATTCAACGACCAGTAAATATTTATTTACCATACGTAAACATTAAGTTAGTACGACTACAGACAAATATTTGTTAAAATTTAGTACATTTTTCTCAGTGTAGACTGCACTAGAACTTCCTTTCCGGCTTAAACCAAATATCAAGCATATACTTGTTTTATTTTAAGTTTTAAAAGTGTTAATTTTTAATTTCTAATATATTAATAGAAAATAGACTTTTTTCAAGCGAAAAACGACGCAATCGTTATCGAGAATCGAGATGGTCGAGCCGATTCAAATCGGCCGCCACGGCGCTGGCGTTGGGCGGCCGGGCGGGGGCGCCCCGATCGCTGCTGAGTTGCCGATGATCGCGCGCTTATTTATCGCGCACATCGCACGGCATTTCGTTACGGGCGACTTTAATCAGCGATAAACGGCGTATTTCGCGCCCGCGGATCGTCATACAGAACGGCGTGCGCGTCCGCCGGCAATTGGCCGCGCGGTAGCACCGCGTACCGCCCCCTCAGTACGTTATGGAATGCGCGACGGACTGCTACCGTGTTACGCGGCTCCGCACGATGCCCGGCCGTAGAGGCACGCCAACGGACCGGAATACGTACGTGCGACGCGGCCGCGGCCACGACGTCTCGCCGCCCGACACTGGACACGGTGCGTCAGGTACGTGCCTCTGCCATCGACCGTCGTGCACCCTTCGACCGTTTGTCGATCACGCGAGTCCCCGTGTCATATCTCGCCGCCGCCGTCGCCGTCGGTAGCACAACGTATACGTGGCAACAGAGCGAGTGTGGCCGCTGTGCCGTGCGAGCGCTGTGTGCTCCGTGGGTGTCACTTCCTAGTCCGCGAGGAATCCCGTGGCGTGCGTTCGCCACCGATTCGTGGGGATCCCGCGTTTCATCGCGTATCCCGCGTAACGTAACGTAACGTGACCTTACCGCGTCCCGGAACGGGGATCATCAGCCCCGTGTCCAACGCGACGCGCGACGGGGACGGGGACGGGGAGACGAGAACGGGACGCGACGCGACGCGACGCTGCGGATCCCCGTGCGTGATCGGAACCCCCTCGGGGGTGTGCTCAACACCTCGGTCGCCCGTCGACACCGGAACGTCGGCGTCGTCGACCCGGTCTTACGTTCGTCCCGTTCTCGCGCGCGCGCGCGATCTGCCATTGAAGACTCCTCTCTTATCTTGGAACGAGCGAATTCCTGGATCTTGAAGAATGGGAGGAGTTTAGCGTCGTCGAGCACGTTGCCGAAGGATATTGAGCTGCCGTTCGCAACGTCTTTTAGGAGCCAGGAAGCAGTCCCTTCTCAGCGAAGATAGCGCGGTGGGAATTTATAATGGTGTAAGTTGGCCTGTTGCCTACTGGCTTCTGGTGTTACACATAAGTCATCGTCTACCGCGCTTCTGCCTTGTTGCTGGTATCCAAGGTGACTTTGCGTTTATACAAAAAAGTGCGCGTACATTTTCAAGCTCACAGGGTAATAATAAAGCGGGATAATTGCATAAAAAAGAAATAAAAAAATGTTTGAAGGAATTAGAGTGCCAAAGTGTATAATCATTTGGTAATACTGCAGGTGCAGGTAATAAATCTCAATTATTTAATTTTTCTCTCTCTCTCTCTCTCTCTCTTCAGAACGTTAATCTTATGAAAGTGTTTGTATGACTTTCTTCACAAAAGTCCCATGAAAAATGAAAAATGAATGTATGTTTAGATTTACAATTTATGTAATAGCAATATTTAGGCTATGTTTCAAAACTCATTGCCAGTAGTAAAAATCTATAGTGCAGGTTACATAAACTATAGACTTTCAGCACTGGCAATGAATTTTGGAACAGCCTTAACCAGTGGATTTTAATTAGCCATTAATTGTAAGGTATGGAATCCATATTATGGATATATAAGGTTAAGAGAAACTGTAAATCAAATCTCATCTTGGCATGTAAGCTGAAGAAACTGGCTGCATTCGGTAGAAAAAGCAGCTTTGCAACTGTTGCAAAATTCTTTAATACAATTGGTCTTATTTTCTCACTGACTCTAAATATATCTAAACCAATCATATTGAAAAATCTTATAACAATTGCAAAGCTGCTTTTTTTGCTGTATTAGTCATTGTAAACCAAATCCTATCTTGATATATGAGCTGAAGCAATAAATTTTATTCTATTTGCAACAGGTATTCCCGGTGGGCCTGCTTATTAGCTGACTACAATGGCTAACTACAATGGACTGACACAGAATACGATCAACTTGATATTTGGATGCTCCTCTCTTTGCGGCATCACTTGCATAAAAGAGCTAGCTTGACGAGAGTTGATGGTGCACCCTGTCGCTGTTGTCCTCCAGTCAACGTAATGGAGGAACCGGTTAAAAAAAAGCAGCGCATTGAGATTAGCGCAGGTAGCAAAAACTTGCTTGCTGATATCGAGGAGCTGCAGAGGAACCTGCTAGCTCGATGTTTATGCAATATGCCGGAGAGCAGTTTGCGCAAGCCATTCACCAGCTTCACAGTGGAGGAGACTGACGGTAGCATCCGTTATGCTGTTCTGTCTGATTGGGACACGGTTCAAATCCTGGAGTATCTTAGCGCCCTACAGCTGCTGTTCGAGCTGGCTATCAAGCAGAACGCGAAGAACGTTATGTGCAAACGAGTGGTGGATGTCTGCGACGCGGTGGCGCGAAACGAGCACGGCATCGTCGATCAGATTATCGACCTGTCCTACACGACCAATAAATTCGTGTCGTACGCAGCAAGTCGCGTGATCGCATCGTTCTTTATCGTCACGAGAGACAATGTGGAGGCTGCCTGGCTGGAGAAACTCACGCAGTCCCTAGTTAACACACACTCGCCCAACCAGATGTTGTTTACCCTAGATGTGGTCAAGAGAGTGGTCGAACATAAAGACTGTAGTATACATCCAGAGGATGGAGACACATATTTGCCACCACCCGGTTGCAATACCTTCGTCATCACCGACTTTGACAGTACGACGATCAAAGCAATGTGCGTGAAGGCGCTCGAGTCTAAGTGGACCATTCTTGTGTCCAAGTTCAATGACATTCTTGGGGCGTACACGCCGCAACACGCGTCCGTTGTCATCACGTTTCTACATTTGTGGGAGACCATTATTTCGGTTAAAGCCAATCTTTCTGTCATCGACACCAAGACATTTTACTCGCAGTTGAATAATCTCGTACTGTTATTAAATGCTAATGTGCCAGGCGTAATCTGGCGACATTTGCTTAGACTCTTCAACGAGGTACTGTGCTACGGTAGTACTCTAGCACTACAAGACGTACTACCGGACGAGCCGTGCTCCCTGGCGCACCTGATCGTGCGTGCCGTCAAGGATTGGCGTCTGCTCGACGCGTTGCCGTATCGTCACGGTTCTGGCAGGTTTGGCGGTGGCACCAGCGAGGGTGATCGTCCTCTGCTGCAGAAAATGGTGTTGTTAGTGCTGAAAAGCGTTGCCGTGACAGTACGGGAGACGCGCAGCGACTCTAGCGACTCGTCTCTCGGTTCTGAAGTCCAGGATCTCGATGAAGACATGGCGGTAATAGAGAGGAGTATTCGCGAGGTACTACGTCAGTTGGACCAGTGCGTAAAGGCGTTGATGCCCTTCCATCCGGAGATGCCGCTGTCGCAATGGGTCGTCCAGATGTTTCATGACCAGGATGATTTTCTCATAGAGGGTATGGTCTGCTGTCTAGATGTTGCCGTGGGCTTATTCTATCGAGGTCCACCACAGAATGATCTGGGCCAGATGCTCAGCCCTACGTTGACCTTCGTGCAATTCATCCGCGCCGTGTCGCACGACCCGGGCGTTCTGCTGGATCTGCTTGTCAGCAACGAAACTTGCTTTTTGCTGTATCTTTTGCGATTTCTCAAGTACATTAAACGTAATTGGATTGAGTTCGTCAGGTGCTGCGGCCGTGAGCTAGACAACACCATGACTGTACTGATAAGACTACGGCTGTCCATTGATCGGCTGGTATCCAAGAATCTGTTCCCTTATAATATTATTCCGGTTCTTCGTCTACTCGAGAAATGCGAATCTTTTTACGAAGGTAACGTGGAGAACGGGTAACAATCTCGTGTAACATAAAGGAGATGTTTGGAGAGATTTGAATCGCCACCAAGTCGACTGAGTGTGTACATTGTATGAACGGAAGGAAGTATTCTCCGATCTTAGCTTGGAATATCTATCTAGACTCAGAGAATGTTTCCATTTATACAGTTCCGTTCACACTAAATTTTGCCATCTGTAAAATATCATGTGTAGTGTACAGATTGCCGCATACCGTCCCGTAAACGCGAAACGGCCGGACTGACTCGCCGATTCGTCTTCTTGAGTTTTTCGAGCATCGATGTCAAGGACAGATGTCTTTAATGCTCAAAAAACTCAGGAAGACGAATGCGTTTCTTATTTATTAGTCTTTAGCGAAATTTTTCAATGTAGCTGGAATTACAAGATGGAAGAACTTCCGTCTGTTTACGAATTAGCGGAGTGTTGAGAGTTATTCAACCGCGATCAAGTCGGAGTACAAAAAAAAAGAACGAAATTCGCGTTGATTAAGTCTCAAAACGAAACTTCATTTGTGTGTCTTACAGAAATTTAATACTGGACAATTTAATGTTGGAAGTTACTTATTTTAAAAGCACTAAACAGTTCCAGTCAGCCAAGTCTGTTGAAAACAAATTTTGTTGACAAAAAGTACTAAATTTGATGCAAATTCTGTTACATTCAATGGATATTAGCAAATTGGTGGCAGATATACAATAAAATCCACTGACAAAATATGAGAATAAATTGTTGGCAAAATCGTGCAAAACTTGTTGACAATCTGACAGCAAATTGATAGCAAGAATCAATCAAGACTGACCAAAGCTTTGCTTGGTTCTTACTGATTAAATTTTGCTATCACATTAGTCAGAAAATTTTATTAGCAAAATATAGGCTTAAGATGTCAATTTGCCGAATATTTTGATTGAACTTGCCAATAATTTGTAAGCAAATTATTATTTTGCTAACTAGGAGTGTTTTTAATACTCAAGACAAATAATCAATCACTACTTTCTAGTACTAAATTTCTGTAAGGGATGGTGCTATGAATTATATTTCTGACACCATTGAAAACATACATATTGATGTATACCACTAGTGTAATATTTATATGTATACTTCGAGAGCTATTTGTACAATTTCCAGTCACACTTGTAAATGTAACTTTATTGTATTTTCATAAAATACCTGAGAAATCTGTACATATCTCACAAACATCAGAGCTGACTTTGTTCCAAATTTTGTGTTGGACGAAGTTACATAATCTTCCAATAATTCTGAAGGAAATTAAAGGAGAAAATTCTTGTTATATTAGTCTCGCATAAATTATAATGCAGCAAGTAGAAAAGATGTAACATATAGAAAATTATGTTGTCATCAGGTCTGGTCTCGTACAGCTTAAATAAAAACAGACATTTTGTAGTCTCAGATTCCTAATTTAAGAGCAAAGAGAAATAACGTAAAATATAATTTGCAAATGTCAATGTTATGGAGAATAATATAATAATTAAACGGCTTCATCCACGTACACAAGCTGAGTTTTGTGCAGGATCATACAATAATCCATATTTATTATAATATATAAAACCAAACGTTTCGGTCTGTCATCAGACCATTTTCAATAGTATTACGTAGAATTGTTAAAAATTTCTCAATAATTTTGAATATTTACAGATCGAAATTATTCTCGTTGTCATTATACTTATCGCTGTCCAATAATTAAAATATAATTTTCGAAGTATCATATATAACATTCGTCAACTGCATAAAACCATGGAAAACAGATAGGACATACTATATTTTCCATGGTTTTATGCAATTGACGAATGTTATATATGATACTTCGAAAATTATATTTTAATTATTGGACAGCGATAAGTATAATGACAACGAGAATAATTTCGATCTGTAAATATTCAAAATTATTGAGAAATTTTTAACAATTCTACATAATACTGTTGAAAATGGTCTGATGACAGACCGAAACGTTTGGTTTTATATATTATAATAAATATGGATTATTGTATGATCCTGCACAAAACTCAGCTTGTGTACGTGGATGAAGCCGTTTAATTATATTGTTTGTATTGATCCACGGTTAATAAGTATTCTTGTTATGGAGAATACTTCTGATTTTGTATTATTCGTACTCTATTACGCACAAAAAATTAAATCTTTTTAATCTAATATTTAAAATCTAAGCGGAAGAAAAAAAACATGACAATTATTCGCAGTTGTTTCGAGATTTCTGATAAAACGTAACTGTAAATAGTGACATTAACAACGCTATACAGGCGTGCTACGTATTCACACAAAACATTAAGATTTCCTTCTGTAAGTAATGTAATACACTAAAATTCTCACATTTTTACTTTTATAATTGTGGTGTCGTTTAATTCAATCTCCCCCTGTGATTAAGGTACGGTTTTGCTAGAATCGTTGTTATCTTAATTTTACAGCAACGTAGATTCCATGTTTTTGTGGAAAGATCAGATTCGATTGCAGCTGGAAGATATTTCTTTTTTTCAATCAAATATTTATTATCATCTTTCCCAAACGCAAATCAAATACAATTGCCATTATCGAAACTTACGATTATAATACGTAGCCCGGCAGATTGTCGTGATGTCCCACGATTAACTCTTTGTGTCACAACCGTTTTTTTTTTAATTTTCTATCCGAGGATTTTTCAGGTTACTGATTACGAATCAGAAGTCAGAATTTTAAAATTCAAAATGGCCGATCCAATATCGCGGACCAATAATTAATGTAATTTTTAATAAAAAATATTTAATATTTTATTATTTATATATATAAAAAAATAAATGTTTAATAAAAAAAGATTTTAATAATGACTTCAGATTCAGATATAGCAACCAAAATACCCCTAGAGACTAAGTTTCAAAATAATAAGAGCTTCTTCGTTTTTGGTTCATTATACCGATTCTGCTATTTTGGATTTTAAAATTTGAAAATTTTGATCTCTGATTAGGATTCAGTGATCCAAAAAATCCCTAGAACGGTATTATAAAAGATATTCGAATTATTTATTTGGATTTACAGTAAAATATCGATTTTTCTATATTTTTTAAAAGAATATTAATTTATAATTAAAAAAAAACGACGTATATATTGTATATTGGAAAAATCTTAAAATATTCTGAAAAATATTTTAAAACGCCCTAAGGGAGTATCTAAATTATCATTTTGATACTGATAATAGATGTAGTAGAAAATACATTTTTTTTTTAAGTACAACTTTAGACTATTTTAGTTATAATAATTACACTAATTACACAAATACAAATTTATAGTTGTACTTCTTTTAACACTTCATGTTCTAGGGATTCTATGAAAATAAAAAACCAGTATTAACGTCAAGAAATTCATCAAAATAATTAAAAATTGAATGAAAGAAGATGAAATTCTTAGAATATCGTTATAACACAAAGGGTTAATCGCGCAAATAATGTTCGATACATTGATTAGAGCGATGTAACGCGCTTATCTCACCGGGACAAACCGTCCGGATCTCCTTTTTGTTTCTCTTTCTTTTTTTACTTTAGAAAGATCCATATATAGAATTAAGTTTATAACGTTAGCCTTTCTTGGCTTATTTTTTTTTTTTTATAAAATTTACACTATTCTCTATTTAGAATTTGCAAATATAGCTCTAATTTAAACATTCGATCAGAGCGTGATCGAGGAATTTTGTGTCGAGATGGACAGCTTCCAGAAACACAAAAAATTTCTTACTAAATATTTATATTTGTGTATTAAATCATTATTTATATACCTCTGTACTTCGTCAATAAATCACTATTTCACAGCATCATTTTCCCATTTAAAATGAAAACTTAGTGGTATCGTATGTTAAGTTTTTTCCCCTTCTTTTCATAAATTAAATATTTAATTGCATTCTTTCCCTCTTTTTCTCTCTTCGATTCAAAATATTATTTTGCTTCAAGTAAAACTATTTATCGCATATTGTACATCGACGTACGAAACTACGCGAGACTGTAAATATCTCCGTAAAGTTTTTAACAGAACGGTAAATGTCCACTGCTTTACTGTAACTGCAGCAAGAATTAGTTCAACAAGCTTCACTAAATTAACAACAAAATCTAAGTTACGTAGCCCATTATTTAGCATGTAGTGTTCAACAGTGTGGATCATTTATCGCGTTTTATATTTCTCTCTCTTTCTTCTTAATTTACTGTTTTGTTTGCTTTTTTATTCGTTGCTATACATGTTCCCGTACTATCTGTAGGTATAATAAACCGTTAATCGTTCGTAGCATACAATGAAACATTCTCTCTGTACACGTTATCTAAATGAAAAATGTTCAATGTTCGTCGCGGCAGAAGCGATTCAAGCGATTTACGTAACGACATATGCGCGAGGCATCAAGAAAAATTAAAACATTGCGAGTACCATTAGTAAGAGACAGTCTTCCTTTTGTCACGAAAATATAACAGACTGTCGTCCGCGTAAGTCCCAAAGTTTTAAACGAGAAGAAAACCGCCAGTCTCTGCACGTGTTTACTGCACGTGTAAGCTGCATACTAAAACAAATCCTATCTCGTAAGCTTAAAATTAAAATTATCCACTAATTTACTTTACTCGAGAATAGGTACGTTATGTTCGGATTCAAGGGGGCGATTAAAAACAATTATGCAAGAGCAGAGAAGGAAAACACAATTTGCGTCGGCTCGTCAAAACATTCGCACAAGAACTTACATGAGAATTGTTACACAAAGCCGCCCGAGATATACAAACGACATAATAATTTCCGCACGTGTCGTACTTATGATCTCGTTACTACGCATACATATATATATTATATATATATATATATATATACTTATTGTTTCGACTATACCTATTGGTGCACATGAGGCTTACTCAACGTTTTATTGCACTTTTACATTGGGCCGTCTCTTCATCTTCTATTTTTAATTGAAAAATCAATGTACAAACAATTAAAACTCACTACGAAAAAGGATTTTGGGACCGTGATGTGTTTACTAGGATCTAATTAAAATCAAGTCTCGTTCTCCTCATAGGAAATGATCTAAAAAAAAACAAAATATTTGCGGATTTATAGAGAAGGTGTGTTCTTTGTGGTAGAGATTATTATATTAAACAGCGCGCGCGCATGTATATATCGTGTATAACGGCGAAATACAATCGGATCATTAACACGTGATCTCTCTACTATCCAGAAGCCTTTATACGTTCTATAGCAAAAGTAGCGACTCTCTATTTTTCTCGCTCCCACTTCAGTTGCGCTTCGCGTTTAGCCTGATAATTTAATCGCGATTCGCCGTTCGGCTAAACCGATGAAAATTCCTGTCATTCGTGTATTAAGTAGTCGGATGATATGAGCTAATTAGCGCCGCGTCCACCGGCTCCATACATGACGGACATGTCAGCGAGCGCAGCAACCAGTCGTCGATGCAGATCGCGTGGTAGGTGTGCATGCAGGGTAAATAGCGCACTTCTTCGCCGGTCTGCAGCTCCATCATGCATATCACGCACTCGCCCTTCTTAACACCGTCATACTCTCGCATCGGCAAATGCTGTATCAGTCCTATACGTTTTGCAATTCTCACTTGTTGTTCCTCTTCGCTCAAACCGGCAGAGCCAGTACTCTGTACCAAATTGACTCCGATCCCGCGACCAATATTCAAGTTGGTAGATTGTAAGTGACGTTCCCTCGTAGCGATCGACGGATAATAAGCTGCTTGCTGTAGAATATTAAAAAATTCATTAATATTCAACCACAACATTTTTCCACATATTATTTGTAGATCCTTAGAACTTGTAAAAGTACAGAAGTTATTTAACAGAATATACATATACTATTTCATTGTCAAAGTTGAGTAGGAGTGTTTATGCCACTTTATATACAGCAGCATTCAGTGTACACTAATCCAATGTAAGTCACTTCATTAGTTATAGTCTCTATATTTAAAATCAGGTCTATTTGGCTGATATTCGTAATTCATTCTTATATTTGAGACTGTCTTAAGTACAGTCTTAAGATGTCATAAGCCAATCAATTCTGCTGCGTTCAGCAGAAAAAGCAGCTTTGCAACTGTTGTAAAATTCTTGAATATGATTGGTTTATACATTTAGATCCAATGAGAAACTAAGGGCAAGACCAATCATATTGAAGAATTTTACAACAGTTACAAAGCTGCTTTCTCTGCTGAATGCAGCCAAGTATTCATAGTTGGTTCTTATTTTAAGATCATCTTAAGTAATATCTTAACATGCTAATACACACGGCTCTTCTGACTGGTTCATAACATGTTAAGACTGTACTTAAGACAGTCTTTGATATGGTATGAACACTGGCCAGACATCTGCATTAACATCTTAAGATATTATTTCAGACGGTCTTAAAATAAGAACCAACTATGAATACTGGTTTATAGGGCTGCATTAGCGTCTTAAGACATTACTTAAGACAGTTTTAAAATAAGTATGGACTATGAATACCACCTTATAT